CGACAGAAGCCCTGTGAACTCTCCCAGGCGTCACCTGCTCCCTCTACCTACAGGTAACCAGCCGCGCTGGTGGCTTTGGTTCCTACCAGCTGAGAGTACCTGCTTTTGAACTTTACACACGTGGACTTGCACAGTATTCTCGTTTTTTGTGAATGGGTCCTCTGGCTCAATATTATGTTTGTGAGATTTATTCGTAGAAGTCCGTTGTATGACTTCACTATAAAATCCGTGTCCACTTTACTGCTGGCAAACATCGGGGCTGTTTCCAGTCTGAGGCTTTTACAAATGACGCCTCTGTGAACATCGCTGTCCGCTGCCTTTGGGTGCTGTGTGTGTACATATTTCTGTCGGACGTGTAGACAGACTTCTGTAGACCAGTGGGGACTTAACCACCGTTTCTCTAAGATTTTTATTATAGAGAACATACAGTTCAGTTCCAAACAAGCAACTAACAAATAATCTTACAAAATACAACGATCTGTAGTTGGTAAATATCTTGTATTTAGAAGCCAATTTTAGCAAATGGACAACTTCTGATTATATTTGCTACCATCAAGAGATACATTAACAATTTGTGTTAAATTTTTAAAAATATCCTCAATGTGAATGCAGAGTTTTAATCCAGCACAGTTCTGGTTCGTAGGAAAACAGCACAGTGTAGATAAACCCTGGGTGAGGGCGAGGGGTCTGGTCCCGAGTCCTCTTACACAGAAACTTTTTAAAAGACATCGAGTAACTCACTGTGACTCTCTCTCTGGGTTTCATCCCCATACCACAAGGACGATGATCCTTACCACATGCTGCATTACTGGATGATAATAGACCTCCCAAGTATTTTAAAATGTGAAACACACACTGAATAGACATATGATCGTGTGGCTAGCATCCACAAATTCCATTCTTCCTTGGATAACATTTTGGATATGAGTCCAGCCCCACCCCAATAAAATCATCTAAAAATGTGTGGAAATAACAATATAAAACTACAAAATGTGATATTATAAACATATTTTTAAAGATTAAATCTATACAAGTACTATTTCTGTAAGTTTAAAATCCACAATTATAGTGTTTACCTACGTAATTTTTAAATCGTTGCTTTTAAGACTCTTGGGGTTTACCACAGTAGCCTGCTTCTTCATCATCATCATCATATTATTATTATTATTATCATTATTATTATTATAAAAATTTCTTTTGGGACAACATAAGTAGAGTGGGATGTACTTGTATGGAAGAACAGTGCCTGGAATACACACGTTACCTATGTATACCTTTGCCCACTGCACCCCCACCTACTGGCTCTGCCCTCGGTCTCCAGACCTCGTAGAGAAGAGTCTCTGCAGCCTGGGGCCCTCACGGGAGCCCCTTTCCACTTCCTTCCTGGTGGGTTTTCACACTCCGAACCCCGTGGAACAGAGAGGAGTACTGGTATGCCCTTGGTTCTCAGAAGGTCTGGGTTCAAGGTCAAGGTCCACCGCTTACTGGCTTGGAACTGACCTCCCCACCTAAGCAGCCTGCCCCGGGGGTGAGGGGCTCAGGAGGGCACAGAACCACCTGCTTTTGTTTTTCCTTTTTGCAGCTTTATTAGTCTCTGGCATCTCCTCTCCAAATGCACCCGGCACAGAGCGGCACACAAAAACACCACCTTTGTCCCCCAGGTCTGTTCACTGTCCCAGTGAAGATGCACAAGGACAATAGTCTTTGAACGTATCTGGCAATTTAGAAATTTTGTCTAGAAGCCGTCGAGAACATCTAACTGGTGTTAGAAACCAACTCTTCAAATGTAGAGTTTATTTCATCAAACCGCAACCTCTTGCCTACACTTGGCAAGTACGGAGCGTGGACACGTCGCTGTCATCACCACCCTGCCCGGCTTCCGCGCCGGAGCACTTTCGGTGTGTCTCCCTCTCCTTCAGTCTCGAAATACCCATTTCCAAGGCGTTTGTTTCCATTTCCCTGGCTTTAGAGTAACACCAGCATCTTCAGTGTTGGCTTCTTGGATTTGTTCCTGTTACACAAGCCTCAAAATTGTCTCCAAATCCCACTTCTTCTTGACTCTTCCTTGTTAGGAGAGCTACCCGATGGCATGTCGCCTCTTTTCAGCAGGCCGAGCTCCTGCTTCTCATCGATTGAGATCACACTGTCAGCAGGCCTTCAGCCACTGCCTGACACTCGTCCCACACCCTCCGCTCGGGCGGGTGTCGGCCAGGGGCCAGGGCTCCTGAGTGGGGCACATGCCTGCCTGTGGGTCCACATCTGCCCTCCGGTTCAGGCATGGCAGGGTTGTGCTCCTCCTTCCTTATTAACAGCTGTGTTTCATTTCACGAATTCTCTCTGTCCGCCAAGACATCACGTCGTTTTACCCCCAGTGCCGAGTGATCTCTGTAGCATTTGACTTTTATGAGTTTGCTGCCTCTAGCCCTCTGTCTCTGCCCCTCTTTCGCTCCCTCACTAACTCTGGAGTGAATCACTAACACCCTGTGTTTGGGTAAATATCTTAAATGACACGTAATAAGTGTCAGGAGCTTCACTAAATAGCAAACAGCAATATTTTCAAAGTACATAATAATCTAAGACCAAACAACTTGTTAGTCTCTGTTTTCAGTGCAGCATTAAACAAGATATAATTGTATTGGCTATTGGTCTCATTATATGATGTCTTAAGTAGAATCTAAATCCCATTTTATTGATATTTTCTGTAATTATGTGTGTGTGTGTGTGTATGTGTGTGTGTGCTCCCATCTGGCAAAAAATGATGTTCCCATCTGGCAAAAAATAAAATAGCTTCCCATGGATTAGCTCTCCTCTTCAAAGTGTGTTAAAACCAATAACATGAGCAAATCAGTAAGAAGACTTTTTCTGTTACATAAAAGCACACTATGATGACGCATCGTTTTGGGTGGGAACTTTGGCCTTGTGGGAATATTTACGTTGCTCTGTGGACTGTCTGTTGGGCCTGTCTCTCTGTGCACAAGTTGCTCCCACTGTTTTATTCAGAAATTGCTGAAATATCTGACGCTTGACAAATGTATGAAGTGATAAATGTTTAGAAAGCTCTTGACATTTTGCCACTCACACAGTACATAATTTAATGCAAAAATGACATGCAAAGTTATTATACCTCTTTACACGTTGACAATTTGTAAATTTAAGAATTTCATAACCTATATCTTAATCCTTGAAAAATCAGAGTTTAAAAGGAATCTCTGGCAGACTGTAATTCAAGCAGGGAGTATAAATGTAAACATGAGTTGCAAACATAGATGTAGCTATGTTTGCATCTGTGTTTGGTAATTCCTTACTGTGTCAGGTATTGTTAACAAGAGAACATGACATTGGTCATAGAAGGTCCCCCAACTGTTGGATCTTTTATAAAACATGTAATCAATTATATATAGTATCAGTAGCCTTTCACTCAACTATTTTTCATATACCTAAGGCAAGCAAATAATTATCAATAATATAGTACTATTGTCTTAGCCATTTATGTATTTGTTTTGTATTTATTAACTTTTCCTTTAAGTTACTATATATTTTTCTCCACAGCAGTGTGTTCTTAGATTTTCAAACCTCAGCAAATAGAATTCATTGGACAGATACTTATCAAGACCTACTAGGTATCAGGCACTGTATAAAGTAAGTGAGATACAAACATAATGGAAAACAGTCATGGGAATGTGCTTAATCCAGTCACATCAGTCTTTCCCGAGAAGTGGACACCTACTATCCGCGTGAGAGAGACGTAGTTTACAGTGGACGGGAAGTACTGCAGACAGAGGGACCATTTACTGAGAGGTACCATGGTCTGGTCACGTCAGTTATGTAAGGTAGGGTTGACCAGCCTCATTTCTTACGTAAACCCAGTGCTTAACAGTATTACATTTTGTCCCGAGTTAGAGCCTAGATCGAGGGCAGAGCCGAAGTTTTATACTGTGCAATGTAACTGTTTCACTGCACATACTGAGTACTTAATCAGGGCTTTTGGATGGTGGTGGTCATCATGCTGTGTCTAACGTTGCTTTTTTTAACGCATTTTTCTCCACCTTTCTGGTAAATCCCAGTAGTGAGTAAATAATGTTGAAGAATGAAAACAAAAATTTCTCTTTTCTGTAATAGGACCATCACTGGGTTTCTCTATTTAGCTTTCCTTAGGGATTAATTCCTAAACTATATTTTTTGGGACATGAATGTTCAGTAAGTGTTAATAATTAGTATAACAGTTATTTTTCTTCTAAATACTTTAAATAAAGTAAGAAAAATAGTATGTAAACCTTTTAAATTTGATTTATAAATTTATAACTATATAGTCTTCTAGTTATCTCTTCAAACTATTTTAAGTTAGTAAACACATTTTTTATCAGTGTATAAGATTACCATGCCTATATCAGAAATCCTCCATGAAACTGCCTGACACATATCCATGTTGCTTCATCTGTATCATTGCTGAGTTATGTTATAAATTCTAAATAAATTCTTCTTAAATTCAGAATATTCAAATATTATATTTTATGCATCTGGATCCCATTTTGATCATTTCATATGCCAACAAATCTATCTGTGCGCCCAATTTTTAGTTTTTACCTTAATCCAATGAACAGCATCATGTGTCTTGAGAACCTATAGGTTTTGTAAGAAAGTATCCCACGTGGCGGAGTGGCCTGTGGTCAAGTCAGTTTGGCGACTGCTGCTATCCAGCCTTCTGCACTTGGTTCAGTGATGGTGGACGGGGGGACTCGGACATTCAGAGCGGGTACCTGTTGCTCCCTGAGAGGTTCCCGGTACCACTTACAGGAGTAATAGCAACTCATTATCCCAGTGCTGCCGGGGACTGGGTGCTCCCTCACTGCACCCGCGCGAGGAGCTGCTTGTGCCCTGATTGGGATTATCCAGTTGTCCGTGGGATTTCAGGACCTGGGCCTTCGACTTTACACATGACTGTATAAACATGTTGACCATGTGTTTAGCAGCCTCTGAATCCTTTGTGTTCTTACCCCCAGCGATGCATCTGTTTGGCCTCAACTGGCAGCTGCAGCAGACTGAAAACGACACGTTCGAGAACGGGAAGGTGAACTCCGACGCTGTGCCCACGCACACGGGGCCCCTGCCCGCCGGCGACAGCGGTAAGAGCCGGTCCTTCCCGGGCGTGGCTTTGAACATCTCCTCCGTAATGGTCATTTCCCCCGTCTTGCATCCAGTTTCGATGGGAGAGAGAAAAGGTTTTGAAATTGCAGATGTCATATTTTAATGAGTCGTTTTTATTCATTTACTTGAAGAATTGAAAATTTGCATTTATATTGTAGGAATAATACTGTTTTCTGCCTTCCGATTAGAGAGCTAGGCCTTCCCACCTTTCCCTCCTGCAAATGTGCACTTTGTTTTATTTTTAGTCGGTAAATAGATTATGATTCAGTGTATCATCTCATATTTCCTGGGGTTTATTAAGCTCTTCACTCAATGACTGTGTGGAGTTGGAATGCTATAATAATTTTGTTATAAAAGCTTTTAAATACAAAACACATTAAAGGATCATAATTTATTGACCCTTCCTCTGCTTGCCCTTTGAAAACCTTCCAAAGTTTACATTTTGAACTAGCAGACGTTCAAATCAGTTGACTCTGAGTTAAAAACGGAATTTACAAGGTTGTATTTCATTTTTTCAACATAAACACCCAGAATGCTGTATTGCATTTTTCCGATATAAACACCCAGGAAAAATGTATTCATATGTATGTATATTTATATTATATATGCCTATCTATTATGTTTATATATGTTTGTGTGCACATAGCTATGTCTTGGCATTTGGGATCATCTGACTTTTTGCAAAATGTCATAATTCTTTATAGCTCAATGCAACCGGAATGAGACACCTTCTTTTGTCACATGATAAATATATTGTTTGCCTTGAAGCATTTCCTGGGCGTTTCTTCTGCTTTTTTTTTTTTTTTTTTTCCTTATCTACTATATTTGTATTCTGCTTCAGCATCAGCGATGTTCATCCTCATGTGGCTGGTTTCTCTGCAAGATTAAAAAGAAGCTACTCTATCTTTATATCTGATATACTAACTTACATTTGTGTGTGTGCTGTGCTACATGTACCTGTGGACAGTGACTAATGCTTTCGCTGTATTTTTTTTCTTTGCTTTCCCCTCTTCTGTTTTATTTTAACAATAATACTTGATGACACTTACTTTCTTTCTTGGGGAGGCTGAGCAATTTTATAAGATTTTCAGAGGAATAATAAATACCCCGTTCCCACCCCTGGATGGGGCCTTTTGATACCAAGTTCTACATGTTCCCCAACAGGGGCAGGTTCAAAGGGAGTGGAAAAAAAAAAATCTTTCCTAGTTAAAACTGTAGGTGGGAAATTTCAATTAAATAAAATATAATTACTTTAAATAATTGTTGTTTTATGCGGTGATAACACACATAGGAACAGATCGAGTAACTACATAGAAATGAAGAGTGTTTGTTTTTGGTTTATCTAGATTGAAATTTAGACTGTCTCTTAGCACTTATGAGCCACACATGGAGGGAACTTTTTTATCGACTGAAGACATTATGCGAAAGAGGAAAAAGTTTGTTGTAAATGCTTTATGTTAAAACTTCCTAACCATTATTCATTGTGATTCCATTGAACATTTCACAGTAGTTGACATGCATGACTCAGCAGAAGCTGTGCGTTCAGATCCTTGCGCAGCCTGGGTGCCGGGCCCTGGATTTGCCAAGGAACCTCTGCTCTCAGTATTCCTCCGCTCCCAGAAGATACCTGTATTCAAATCCCCGCTTCTTTCCTGTGGACTTGGTACCCTTGGTCAAGCTTAGCAGTTCAGATCTGCTAGAAAAGCTTAGCACAGCCCGGGAGAGACCGTCTGCAGGACCGTCCATCCCAGGAATTGGAAGAACAGCCTATAAACACGGCTGCAGAGATCCCCATAGCACTGGGAGACACTTAAACTCTTCTCCACCACTGCAGTGAGCTGCTTGTTACATCGAAGCCCACACATACGTTCGTGTGTACATCTGACGTGTTTCCCAGGAGAATACATTTCCTCCGTGTGTGAAATGCACCCTAGATTTTCTACTCTGATGGTAGCTCCCATGTATCCAAGTGCTAGTTGAAACTCACTCAGATAATGTCACCATGTGCCAAGGGTTGTGCTCCACCATTTCAAAAACACTGCTGGGGGACCTCCCATCTCGAAGAGGGGCCCACCTGGCCTAGGAGGCTACAGCTGGTGTGCACCACAGAGCCTGTGTGTCCACGCGCGGGTACATCGTGCCTTCTCCCTCGCCTGCCACCGAAGGAACGGACAGCAGGAGCCCCAGGGGGAGGCGGGCACTGCAGACGACCTCAGCCTGCCTTCCACATAGGACATCTGTAGGAATTTCTCCATCTCTGAGCTCAGACCTTGTCCCAGTAATCGTCTCTTGTGTCTTCATTATTATTTCTGGAATACCCCCAGTACCCAAAACTGGAAGGAATTCTTTTTTAAGGTTTTTATGTTTTATTGGCTATAAAAGATAAAATATGGGGTAAGAGGAAATAGAGTAGTATTTTGTTAGGTCAGCGATGGATTTATGCTCTAATTATAGAATAATCAAAGGGTCATAAAGATCAGAGTCTCTGCCACCTCTCTCTCCTTTTTTTTTTTTTTTTGTTAAATTTTTCTTTATTGTTGAAAGTATTACAGATGTTCCTCCTCTTATTTCCGCTTTTCCAAGTAAAGATTCTTGGTATGTGTCTCTTAAATATGTCTAGTCCTGGGCACGGGGGCACCCCAAAAACACCGCTTTCAGCCTCCCCGAAGGACCCATTGCTTCAGCTTGATGAACTTCCCACGTGGTCTCTTTAGAAATTCCGGGAGATCGCAGCCTTAAGAAAGCCTCGGCTTTTCAAACAAAGCTCACCAAGAGAATGAACTCTGCTGAGTGTGGAGAGCAAATGACCTTCCAGCTTCTAAATGCAGCCCTGTCATTGTGCAGGCTCACTTCATTCTCATTGTGCAAATACCATTCTCGGGAGCGGTCTTGGCGCTGAGGGTCATTGTGCAAATACCATTCTCGGGAGCAGTCATGGGGCTGAGGGCTCCGTCCACTTCCTGCTTGCTTTTAAGCAAATACTGAACTGATGCTTCTCAAGGGTATTTCGTATTTAAAAGAATTTCTGTTACATGCCATGGACCCTTACTGACTATTTCTGAGACCGTCTTGGACTACACATTGGAGAGAGGAGATGTCAGAAGCATGAAGGAAGAGGTGAGAATGGAGGTTTTAGCTCCAACATCAGTTTCCTTCCAGAAAGGAAGATTATTCCCCTGGACTAAGGAATGCATCTAGCCTAATGCCTGGAAAGGATCACACAGGCCCAGCTCCTTCGTTGATTTACTTTGTAACCTCAAGCCAGTTACTCCACCTCTTTGAGCCCCAGTTTCCTCACACAGAAAGCGGAAGAATAGCACCTGCCTCTCGGCTCACCAACTTCGACAGTCTGGCAGCCCTACTCTATGTCCCTTGCAAATTCTTCCGCATTTCTCAACAATTATTTTGAATCTTTCTACTGGACTCAAAACTCCAGCCCTTCAGCTTTCTCTGATGATGATCTTGCATTCTATTCAACAAAAATGAAAGAAACGGAAACCTTCAGAAGGGCTTCTCCTAAACAAATCTCCAGTCCTATGTCTGGAGGTATTCTCCATCCTTCCACACCATAGTCAAGGCTCATCTTTCCATGAGTCCGCTTGATCCCATCCTGTGTCTTCAAAATGTCCCCACTCCACCTGCACTCCCAGTCAATGTTTGAATAGTCTGAGGCCATTCAACATCTTGAAATAAATCCTCGAGTCTGCCTCCTGGTGCAACTTTACCCTGTCTGGCTCCTCTCCCCTCAGCCAGCCTTCTCGAGCAGAGTATGCGTGTTCACGGTTTTCTTGTCTGCACCCCCACGCACTCCTGTAACAGCCTGGCTCCTTTCTTGTGACCGTCCTCCACCCTGTCACTCATGCAGCTGATGCCCTCCAGAGTTAGCCATTGCTTTGCGGGGAGCATCAGTGAATACCCTTCTATCGTTACAGGGTTTAACAGTTCATCTGCCCCTCCTCGTTGAAATCGGCTCTTCCCTTAGCTTCTGTGATACCTCGTCACGTGCACTTTCTTCCTGACTTTTTGGCAGTGATATTTGAGTCTGTTCGGTTGACTCATCTTCCGCTACCTGATCCCTAGTCATTGCTGTTTCTCGGGATTCTGCTCCTTTCCAAATAGAATCACCCTGGGTTCTCTCGTCCACTCTTCTGGCTTCAGTTGCATTGTATGTGCTGTTACATTCTGTGTGTTCCCAAATCAATAAGTGCAGCCTCGATCTCGCCCCTCGAGCTCCAGACATCAACTACATGAAATCTATCCAAGGAGCTTTGGAATGCGTCCACCTGGCTGTCGTCCAAGCCTCTCAGTGTCTAAAACGGAATCCATCCACTGCTTTGGTTATCTATTACTGCATAACAAGCCACATCAAGTCAGTGGCTTAAAAGAACACTCTGTTGCCATCGCTCACGGTTCTGTAGACTGACGAGGCCATTCTTGTGTTCGCGCCTGGGTCCCTCGTGCAGCGGCCCTCAGATGCCTGCCGGGGCTCTGAACGCTCCGCTCTGCCCATTCACGCCGCGGGCAGCCGATGCCACCTGTGGGCTGGAGCTCAGCGGCGGCTGTCCAGCAGAGCCTCCGAGCATGGCCTGTGTGCCTCCGAGCATAGCAGGTGGCTCCGAAGAACAGCGTTCCAAGAGGGAGCATTCCAAGAGACAGGTTTCGAGGATACTGGACCTTCTAAGGTGTCACTTCCATCTCATCCTCTGGGTCAAAAAACAACAACAAAAATGTCAGTAAAATCAGCCCAAATTATAAAGGAGAAATAAACTTTCCCTCTTGATTAGGCAAATGGCAGGGACACATTTCATAAAGGCATGAAGGGTGGAAGATGTGGCCATCTTTGGAAAACACAGTTGGCATATTATCTTTCTTTCCCAACGCGCCTCCTTGTGGGGGTTTCTGTGTCAGCAGACGGCCTCGCTCTCCTCGCTGCCCAGGCCAGGGCGTGAGGGGGCAGCCTGCCTCTTCCTGCTCTTTC